CTAGTTTCAGTGGAAAGCTGCTAAAATGTTGCTGGATGATGTCAAATAATAATAATAATAATACATTTATTTTGTGGTGCGCTTTTCAAGATACTCAAAGTCGCGTCACAGGGGAGAAGATAAAAACAAGAACAAAGCAAGTTGAATAGAAAGCAGATAAAAAAACAAGTTAAAGGTGAGTTTTTAAAAGGGGCTTGAATGTGTGGTGGTCAGAACAGTGTCTGATTGGAGATGGAGTTCCAGACGGTGGGAGCAGCAGCAGAAAAGGCTCTGTCCCCCCAGGTTCGGTGCCTGGTCCTTGGTGGTGGGGCGAGGAGGTGAGCAGAGGAGGAACGGAGGCTGAGGGAAGGGGTGTGAGTCTGGAGCAGGTCTGTGGGGTAGGAGGGGGCCAGATGATGGAGGGCTTTAACCCTAAACCCTAATCAGCACGATTCTGCCCCGTTGGTGTCGTCCTGTTACATCTGTTTGCGTCTCTCCTGCTCTCTGTGCTCACATAAACTGTTTTAAAACCATCCAATTTCCCAGAGTAGCTGTTCTCACTCACAGATTTCTGTTGTCAGGAAGCGGAATGGATATGAAATAAAATACTGATTTTATAAATGTCATGTCATCTGACTAACATGATTAAAAACAACGGCTGTCCTGTCAATTTAGTGATTTTTGCACGTGAAATGATCGCTCAGAGAGAAAGTTAGATGCAACAGAATGTCTTTGCGTCAGACATTCTCTTCTCTTTGCCACTCACTGAACAGAGCAGAAGGAAAGAGAGTGGTGCGAAAGACAGACAGTAGTGGCAACTGTCTTCTACGGAAATGAGCAAAGGTTTGTCTGAAAAGTCAATCGATTTGTCATTTGGTGTTTTTTTGGGTTTGGTTTTTTTAAAATGCAACTTAAGTTCAGACGTTGTTTGATTTGTGATAAAGTTACTAAGTTGGCAGCATTAAGTGCAGCTAGGTGGGTACATCGTAGGACAGGTAGGTAGGCCATACGGGAATCTACTGTAGACTGAATGTGAATGCAACAAACAACAGATGTTTTCTTTTTAGTTTAGCTGTCAGTTGCTGTTGTGATATTAAGATACTTTACAATAAAAAATGTTAAAGATGCACTGCATACTCTACTTATGATGTTTACAAAGTTGGACACACTGTCGGTTAGCTACACAAGTAACTCAAAGATCAAATTCAGTCTGAAGACAGAGAGCAGTTTTCATTTAACCGGCATGTTCTTCTTACCAAGCAGAGACTCATAATGTTTCCGGTGTAAGCTTCTGGAGCCAGAATGGTTCCCAGCACCATCGGCTCCAAATACTCGGAAACCACCGATCTGTCTGGGAACTGAGC